CTAAACCCTAAACCCTAAACCCTAAACCCTTTTGGTTTCATTTGCAGAACTAGACGAAGAAGGTGAATTGGCTTTACAGCGAGCAGCAAAAAGAGCCACAGCACAACTACGAAGTGTTCAACTGGGTACGGCCCCAAACCCTAAACCCTAAACCCTCACTTCTGAATCGCAAACCCTAAACCCTAAACCCTAAACCCCATTTTGCTAGCTGCTGCCCCAGCTTGCAGGAGCAGCAGCAAAGCATCACACCCACAAGCAGCAAATCCGCACTCATCTCCCCCGCTGCTGCTACCACTGCTGCTGCTGCTACCCCTGCTGCTGCTGCTGCTACCCCTGCTGCTGCTGCCGCTGCCGCTGCTGCTGCTACCGCTGCTGCTGCTGCTGCTGCTGCTGCTGCAGTGGACGAAGTGAGCGCGTCGCGGATAGCGTGGGAGCTGCGTCGCGTGCATGCGCTGGACTTCAAATCTTTTTATGACTTTTTAATTCTTCCGATGAAAGACTTTTCTTCTGCTGCTGCTGAGAAGGAGGCCCTGGGCTGGTGTCTGTACACCCTGGCGCAGCAAAACGCCCGCAGCAGCAGCATGTTCGCCCACGCCCGCACCGCAGCAGCCGCAGCAGCAGCAGCAGCAGCAGCAGCAGCGCCTTCCCAGGTCCGCCGCTGCTTCAAAGATGTTTGGGAAGCAGGAATGACTTTCCACAAACCCTCGCTGCTCCACAAACCCCAAACGGGGGCCCCCGAGGGGCCCCCCGAGGGGGCCCCCGAGGGGCCCCCGGAGGGGCCCCCAGGGGGCCTCCAGGGGGGCCGCGGCAGCGCCGAGGAGACCGGCAGCAGCAGCAGCAACAGCAGCAGCAGCAGCAGCAGCAGGAGGGTGCTGAGCAGGTCCGATGAAGTGTTTCGAGCTTCCGTGATGAAGGATTCTTTTTTGCATGTTTTAATTTTGCAAAGATTGGGAGCTTTGATGGAAAATTTATTTAATTTTCGAGAAGCAATGGCGCTGCGGGAGGGCACAGCAGCAGCAGCAGCAGCAGCAGCAGCAGCACCGCCTGCAGCAGCAGCAGCAGCAGCAGCAGCAGCAAAAGCCGCGCTCTTCCGGCGCATGCAAGCGCTTTCTTTTGAAGACTTTTCGCAACTCGTTCTGGTGTCTGTACAGCTGCTGCCTCTCTCTCTTGCTTTTGTTGCTGCAGCAGCAAAAAGAGACATTAGGGTTTTCTACCTCAGCAGCAGCAGCAGCGGGGGGGCCCTCTTCAGGCTAGGGGCCCCCAGCAGCAGCAGCAAACTGTACCCTTTCAGCAGCAGCAGCAGCAGCAACTTCATCTGCAATCCCCGCTGCAGCCAAATCAGCTCTGCTATCAATCTCGAGGCCAGAGCCAAAAGAGGTAATCTGCTGCTGCTGCTGCTGCTGCTGCTAAATTAATTAATTAGTTGATTAATTAATTAATTAAACTATTTATATATCTATCTATTTATTTCTCTTTTATGTATTAATTAATTCATTTATTCATTCATTTATTTATTCATTTATTTACTTATTTATTTATTTATTTATTTATTTATTTATTGTTTATCTGCAGCAATAGCAACTTCGCTGTCGCTGCGGCTGCGGGCCCAGACGCGGGGCCTCAAGTCTCTTGCTGCAGCACTGTCCCCTCTTTTGTCTCTTTCTGCTGCCGATTTATTTCTTTCTTTCCAAAACTTCGAAACTTTTCAGCAGCAACAAACCAACTCCATCAATCCCCAAACCCTCGACATTTGTTCCTTCCATTTCCCCCAAATGAGGGTTTTCAAAGGGGCCCCCCAGGCCTCGGGGGGCCCCCTGGGGGCCCCCGGGGGCCCCCCGGGGGCCCCCCGGGGGGCCCTCAGGGGCCCCTGGGGACGAGGGGGGCCCCTGGGGGGCCCCCTGGGGGCCCTCCGCGGGGGGGCCCTCGGGGGGCCCCTCGGGGGCCTCCGGGGGGGCCCCCGGGGGCCCCCCGGGCCCTCCAAAGAAGGGTTTTTTCTGTGCAATTATGAAAGTGTACCCTTTCGGTATGCACATGAAACCCTGAGGGTTTGCGGGGCCCAAAGGAGGGTTTCTGCTGCTGTTTGGGCAAGTTTTTTCTTGAATTCAAACCAAGTTTTGGATAACTATTTCAAAATGGAAATGCGGAGAAGTGGAGGAATAAAAACAATCAAAGACTTCGAAAAGAAAAAAGAATGGAGACGCAAACTCCCCCAACTCCTCAGCGCCACTGCAAAGGCACTTTCCGACAAATTCGCAGGCAAACCCTAAACCCTAAACCCTAAACCCTAAAGCCCAACCCTAGTCCTAAGCCCTAACTCTAAACCCTAAACCCTAAACCCTTTTGGCCTGGAGACCCTTTAAGCTTCGAGGCCAGGCCCTGGCCCTCGCGAACGCTGGGGCGCAGCCGGGCCGCTAACCCCAAACCCTAAACCCTAAACCCTAAACCCTAAATGGTGTGTTTAGGGTCATTTTTTCTGGTTTTTTCGCTGAATTGGTGTTTGGCATTCTGCGGTTTACATTTAGACATAAAGGCACTCGTAAAGATGCTGGAAGGAGGTGTAGATACACTCCAATTCAAAAAAACCCTCCGAGCTGCAGCAGACAAAATGGCCCAGTGGCTGCTGAGGCCCCGCGTCAAGAAGGCCAAGCCCAAGCAGCGCGAAAAGGGTAAACAAAATAGTTATTTAATTATTTAGTTATTTAATTTAATCAATTTAATTAATTTAATTAATTTAATTAAATTGAATGAATTCATTAAATTCATTGAATTAGGTGAGTTAAATAATTAATTCTTTATTACTCTTTTTAATTCCTTTGAATTGATTTTAATTCTTTTTGATTCTTTTCAAATTAATTTAAATTAGTTTAAATTAATTAAAATGAATTTAAATTCATTTTAATTCTTTTTGATTCTCTTTCATTCCCCAATGCTTTTCAATCCTTTTTGGTTCTTTTAATTCATTTAAATTTGATTCTTTTTGCTCCCTTTTAGTTCTATTTAATCCATTTTAATTATTTTGATTAATTTAATTAAATTAATTTAATTAATTTAATTTAAAAAAATTAATTTAATTTGTTTTATTTTTAGTTGCTGAGGGCCCGTGGACTTCAACAGAAAGAACAGTTTCCTTAAAAGAACTGTCTTTGCTTCCTGAGGAAATAGTGCTGACGAAGTGGCGGCGGTTTGCAATATCTGTGGACTGCAGCAGCAGCAGCAGCAGCAGCAGCAGCAGCAGCAGCAGCAGCAGCAGCAGCAGCAGCAGCAGCAGCAGCTGCCTGGGGTTTGGGGGCCCCCCGCGGCTGCTGGCCGCGCTGGGGGGGGCCTCGGGAGCAGCTCATTTGTTTCTTTTGGATCAACTTTCTTTTTTTGGAGAAATCCAAAACAACAAAAAGGCGGAAAGTACTTTTAAAAAGCTTTTGGAAGAGTTCTTTATTTCCCCGGGGGGCCCCCAGGAAGGGTTTAGGGCTTTGCGCGCAGCAGCAGCAGCAGCAGCAGCAGCAGCCTGCGCTCGCCGCGCAGCTGTCTGTACACTCCGCGCCCCACAAACCCTCAAAACCCCCAGCAGCTGCAGCAGCAAAACCCTCTTCTGCACGCGAGTCCTTGCATGCGCGGAAAACGGAAGCCACGCCAAAAAACCCGTCATCAACCGTAAACCCTAAACCCTAAACCCTAGCACCAGCAGCAGCAGCAGCAACAGCAGCAGCAGCAGCAGCAGCGCGCCGCATTGACGAAGCAGGGGCTCTGTGCGCCTCGTCTGCACTCCAGGGCCTAGGGTTAGGGTTTAGGGTTTGGGGTTTGGAGGTTTGTTTGCGGTGCAGCGGACTGTTTGCTGCTGCTGCTGGACGAGCTGCTGACGTCTGCTGCTGCTGCAGTTCCTGCTGCAGCAGTTTTTGAAACTTTGAGTTCTGTCTTTTCCGTTTTTCCTTTTTCAATTGTTCTTTGGAATCAATTAAATAGTTCTTTAATTCAATTCAAACAAACTCAAAACACTCTCCTGGACTCCGTCCCCATTCAAATCATTGTCGCCCCGCGACAGCCCCCAGCAGCAGCAGCAGCAGCAGCAGCAGCAGGGGGAGCAGCAGCAGCAGCAGAAACGGCTTCATTTGCTGAAGAGGGAAGCGAGGAGGATATTTTTCTCAGCGCCCAGGAGCCAGAGGAGGAGGAGCAGCAGCAGCAAGAACAGCAGCAGCAGCAGCAGCAGCAGCAGGAACAGCAGCAGCAGCAGCAGCAGCAGCAGCAGGAACAGCAGCAGCAGCAGGAACAGCAGCAGCAGCAGCAGCTGCAGCAGCAGTGGCAGCTGCAGCAGCAGCAGCAGCATCTGCTGCAGCAGCAGCAAGACACGGAACTGTTTATCGTCAGTCCTGGCTTTGACCTTTACCAGCGGCTTTTAGAAGCAAAAAGAGCAGCAGAAAATGGTGAGAAATAAATAAATAAATAAATAAATAAATAAATAAATAAATAAAAATAAATGAATAAATAACGATTAATTAATTTATTTCAAGTCGTGCTTTTGCTTTTGCTGCAGAGCCACAGACGCCCTTGATGCCTTTGGGAGGTAAACCGCGCCCACCTAGGGTTTAGGGTTTAGGGTTTAGGGTTTAGGGTTTAGGGTTTAGGGTTTAAGGTTCCACGCTCGTGGTTGCTGCTGCACTGATCCAAAGCCCGAAATTGGAACGAAGAAAGCAAACAACTAACCAAACTAATTAACTAATTAATTAGTTAATTAATTAAATTAATTGATTAATTATTATTTATTTTTATTTATTATTTATTTATTATTATTTATTTTTTCCTTATTGTTGTTTAGGGGCTTTCTTCACGCTGGAGCGTTTGCTGCTGCAGCAGCAAGAGCGTTTGTCTTTGCTGCCGGTGGGGCGTTCGAAGTTGTTTTTATCTTTTTTGGAATTAAAAGAAATTCAAAAAGAAATTAAAAATAAAATAAACTTCGAAGAAGTTTTTTTCAAAGACTCCAAACTGCAGCAAACCCTCGCGCCCCGCGAAGACAACTTCCACTTCTTCGCCCAGCAAAAGCGCACCATCGGTCAAACCCTAAACCCTAAACCCTAAACCCTCGGGCCCCCGGCGCGCGCTTTGCCCGCTCGCGCCGCCCCTCCAGACCCCCTAAACCCTAAACCCTAAACCCTCGAGACCCCGGCGGGCTCTTGGCCCGCTCTCGCCGCGCCCCCAGAGCCCCTAAACCCTAAACCCCAATTCGGGGTTTCTTGCGGAGGCAAAAGCGGGGTCGCGTTTTGCCCGCGGTTGCCCCGAAACCCTAAACCCTAATTTGTGGTTTGCGGCTGCAGAAACCCTCCTGGCGGAATCGGGGGCTGAGGCCTCTCTTTTGGATTCCTTTTTGCTAAAAACCCTTTCTGCTTTTCAACTTCTTGTGGCTTGTCAAGAAATCACTCAAGAGTGTCGAGGGTTTAGAGTTGAACTTTACCAAACCCTCCTCGCTGCAATCCGCAAGGCCATACAAGAAGGTGCGAGGGTTTAGGGTTTAGGGTTTGGGGTTTGAGGATTGGGGTTAAAGGTTTAGGGTTTAGGGTTTGGGGTTTAGGGTTTAGGGTTTGGGGTTTAGGCTTTAGGGTTTAGGGTTTGCGCTGTGCGGCCAGCTGCTGCTGCTTGTCTTCTCCCTGCGAGTTTCTTTCTGCTTCAAATTCACAAATTATAATATATTTATTAATTTATTTATTTATTTATTCATTATTTATTATTATTTATTCATTATTTATTTATTTATTTATTTATTATTTGTTTATTTATTTCAGGGGAGTCGCTGGTGCGTTTGGGGCTGCAGCAGCAGCGGCGGCTGTCGAGTCTGAGCGAGCTGCGAGCTGCTGCAGCATCGCTGCAGCAGCTGCTGCAGCAGCAGCAGCAGCAGCAGCAGCAGCAGGCGCTGGGGCCCGTGTGTCTCACGGAGCAGTGCAGAGATGATGCAGCAGCAGCAGCAAAACTGCTGCGGCCCATTCAGAAGCTGCTGGGGGCCCCCAAATATATTCAAATAAAAAAAGAAACCCTCGAGAGACCCGCGGCAGAAATGAAAGCAAAAGTCCCCCTCGAGGCCTTCAGAAAAGCCAGTAAGCCCTAAATTAGGGTTTAGGGTTTAGGGTTTAGGGTTTAGGGTTTGGGGTTTGCTGCGTGCTGATTCCTAAGCCCTCGCGAGAAACAGAGGGAATTCGCGGCTTCTTTAGTTTTCTCTAAACCCTAAACGCCAAACCCTAAACCCTAAACCCTAAACCCTAAATCGTGGTTTTCGGTGTTTGCTGGGCAGGTTCGCTGACGCTGTCGCACCTGCCGATGGAGCAGTGGCTCTCCGTGCTGCGGAGTCTGCAGCAGGGGCCTTTGCTGCTGCTGCCAAACCCTTTTTTAGGGTTTACGATTTACTCCTTTCAAGTCACTTGTTTTGAACTCTCCAGAAGCCGCCTCGCGGAAGCCCTCAGAGTGCTGCAGCGCGCAGCAGAACAGCTGGGTTAGAAATAAATAAATATTTATTTATTTATTTATTTATTTATCTATTTAAATAAAAATAAATAAATTGAATAAATTATAATTCTATTTTGAGAGATTAGGTCTTTTGGGGGTTTTGGAATTGGAGAAAAATTTGATAAGGGGGGAGCCCTGCTGCAGCTTGAGGCTTTCAAACCCTAAACCCTAAACCCTAAACCCGCAGCCCAAGCAGCAACGTGCTGCTTCTGCTACTTTGGCCTCTGCTGCTGCTGCTGCTGCTGCTGATGCTGCTTGAACTGCCGCTACTGCTGCTGCTGCTGCTGCTGCTGCTGCCACTGTGCGGAGAATTGACTTTTGCATTTCTCTCTTTTAATCGTTTTTTATCTTGGAAATTCAATTAATTCAATTAATTCAATTAATTTAATTTTATTTAATTAATTAAATCAATTTAATTAATTAATTTAATTTAATTTAATTTCATTAATTTCTTTTCAGAGCCCGGAGCCATGGGCGATATTGCGCGGTCGGCGGCGGAAAGTCAAAAGAAACAAGACAGAGGTAACTTAATTTATTTAATTAATTTAATTCAACTAATTTAATTTAATTAATTTAATTTAATTTAATTAATTTGATTTAATTAATTTAATTTGATTTGGTTAATCTGATTTGATTTAATTAATTTGATTTAAATTGATATAACTTATTTAATTTGATTAATTTGATTTGATTTAATTTGATTTAATTAATTTGATTTAATTAAATTTAATTTGATTTAATTTAAGTCAACTAATTTGATTTAATTTAATATAATTTACTTAATTTAATTCAATTTAATTTAATTTAACTAATTTAAGATTTAATTTGATTATTTATTTTTTAATTTATTTTTGCTTTTGCAGCTATAAGGGACACTTTGAATATTTGCTGCCGAGAGGAGAGCTACAAGAAGCACGGGGCCACTTACTTGACGCGTAACTAAACCCTAAACCCTAAACCCTAAACCCTAAACCCTAGAGGTTTAGTGGGCGAGGGTTAGTCGTTGCGTGGAGCGTTGGCTGTTGCGAGCTTTGGTCTCGAAAGCGCGCGCCTGTGCGGGAGCTGGCTCAGGGTTTAGGGTTTAGGGTTTAGGGTTGAGGGTTTAGGGACGCGTCAAGCGAG